TGCGTTCGGGCCAAATGCGCTGCGAGGAAAACCTACAAGAAGACGCTTTGGTCGCCGTCGTCATCATCCTAAGCGACGTCACCTTCATCGCTTTTAATTTTCATCACTGTTGGAAGCCTGTAATTTTCTTCAGCTTCATCGTAATCTTTATTGATTATAATGACCGAGAAGATGATGAGGATAATGATGTTGAAGCTGATTGTAATAATAATATTGATAATGATAACAGTAATAACAACAAGAACAATGATAATAAACGATAGTAATGATAATGATTATATTGATAACTGTAACAACAATAATAGTAATAATAATAATAATAATAATAATAATAACGACGAAAGAAATAATTATGATAATATTAATAATGATTATAATAACAATAACGTGGATGAGTAACTCTTTTCATATAAATTTGAGTTTTCGTTTTTTTCGTCACTGGCAATGTTTACTCATTCTTGGGACACTGAACATATATATATATATATAATATATATAATATATATATATATATATATATATATATATATATATATATATATGTATGTGTGTGTGTGTGTGTGTGTGTGTGTGTGTGTGTGTGTGTTGTGTGTGTGTGTGTGTGTGTGTGTGTGTATGTATGTATGTATGTATATATTCATTTATATTTATATATATACATATATATATATATATATATATATATATATATATATATATATAACTATATATATACATATACATATATATATACATATACATACATATATTACATATATATATATATATATATATATATATATATATACATATATATATATATATATATATATATATATATATATATATATATATATATATATATATATATATATATATATATATATATATATATATATATACATACATATATATATAACCATATATATAAAATATACATACACAGACACACACATATATATGTTCAAATACATATACATATAAACACACACACACACACACACTCCCACTCACACACACACACTCACACACACACATATGTATATATATATATATATATATATATATATATATATATATATATACATATATATATATATATAATATATATATATATATATATATATATATATATATATATATATATATATTTATATATATATGCATGTATGTACATTCATATTTGTTTATATGTGAATTTATTAGTATATAATCAGATACATAAATTTATATATACACACATACATACATATAGACATATACATATACATACATACATATATATGTATATATGTATATATATATATATATATATATATATATATATGTAATATATATATAATATATATGTATATATATATATATAATACATATATATATATATATATATATATATATATATATATATATATATAATATATATATATATACATACACATATACACATGTGTGTGTGTGGCGTATAGAGTGGATATATAAAGGCGGAATTTTGAAGTATTGCACCTATTCAATATATATATATATATATATATATATATATATATATATATATATATATATATATATATATATATATATATATATATATATATTATTTGCACAAGGCAGTATTTTTCTCATTTGCCCTCTCTCTTTTCGCAGATAGCAATCACGCTTATGGTGTCTCATCAGCTGACGTTAATTACCGTTGTAATCGCGCCCTCAGTAATAATCTTCTCCGAGGCCTTTAATAGTTATACCCAAGGCTGGTTAACGAGGAAACCAGGTCGTTTGGGGATTTTTGGGGGTCATTTTCTTTTATCATTAGGCTTATTAACATATGGATTTCTCGAGGCAAATGAGCTGCGACATTAACGAATACATCATTAAAAATGAATAGGTTGATCAATAATACTAATTATGAACCTTATGACTGCAATAATAATGGAATACTAAGAATGAACATAATGATGATAAAGATACCATCATTTTAAGTACCATTATTTCCATTTTTATGGTTATCATTACTATAATCATTACCATAATTATCATTAGCATTATCAGTATTATAATACAATGATAGTTATGAAAAAGATAAGGTACTAAAGATAGTGATAACAATAATAGTGATTATGGCTGTAATCACAAGGACAATATCAAGCATAATATTCTTTTTTTTTTATCTCCGGCTGTCATAAAGATACCCTGCCAATCCAATCCAATTCAAGCCATGCCAAGCCAAGCCGAAACCAAGCTACGGATGCAAACAAAAGCTTCGAAAAACAATGAGGAAAGAGTTGGCCAAAGAGAGAGCGAAAGGGAGAAAGTTCGTTGAATGGCCATAAAAAAGGCCATTATTCCCAGGATGGAAGTTCGGTCGGTATCGACAAAAAGTCATCAATTTGGGCCGTCACCTGACTAATATTTGCACGGACTACAATTTCGACCTTGATTGCCCAGCCATTCCAGGAGATGGAGGGAATGGGGTGGGGGTGGGGGTGGTAGGCGGGAGAGAAGGGAAGTAAGGGAGTAGGGAAGGGGAGAGGGATACTAGGTAGAGGAAAGGGGAAAAGGGAGTAGGGAAGGGGGAATAGATGCAAGAGGTAGGGGAGGAGGGAAGAAAGGGAGTAGAGAAGGGGAGGAGGAAAAGTGGTAGGGAAGGGGAGAGAGGTAAGGAAGGGAGGGGAGGAATTGTAAGGGAGAGGTGTGGACGAGGAAGTACTAGACCCGGAGATGGTGGGGGGATTTGGGGGGGTGAAGCGCAGGCAAGGCGGATGAGCAAATGATAATGGTAGCGATGACAATAACAGCTGCTGCACGGTTGTTGTTTATAATTGGTACGCTCGTACTGACACGAATAGTGCTGAGCGTAACTAGCAAAGTACGCCTATAGAAGAAAATAAATGTTAATACTGAAATAATTAAATAATTTTGATAAGAATATTATTCAGGTCAGGTCAGGTCACTACCGTAGCCTGTTGGCCATTGGGGCACTTTGATGAGTCCACAATTCTCCTCCAGCCCCCACGGTCCCTCGCTAGTCCGACACAGGTCGCTGCGCTTCGCTTCGTCCAAGCCGCGATGTCTCCCATCCACGTTTTTCTTGGTCGCCCTCTGCATCTGCTTCCCTCAACTGCTCCGTGCATTATGTCATAAGCAAGAGTCCCAGACCGTCGTGTAATATGACCAAACCATTGCAGTTTTCGCCTTTTCCTCGTCTCCAAAAGGGGTTCGTAGATGCCAATCTGCCTGATGATTTTTTCTTTGACTTCATTGTTTGTGATTTTCTGCTTCCATGTAATTCCAAGTATTCTTCTGAAGCAGCAGCGAATTTCAAATGCGTTGATTCTCTTTTCCAGATTCTTGGTGTAGGTCCATGTTTCACTTCCATATAGAGCGATAGATGTTATCAGTGACGAGCAATTTGATCTTTATTGAAGTATTAATTGAGCTTGGTTTCCAAATTTTGTCCAGTTTTGCGAGCTGGTTTGTGGCAATCGCAAGCCTCTCCTTAATTTCGTGTTCTGAAATAACATCTTCATTTAGCGTTGAGCCAAGGTATTGGAACGTCTTCACTTCTTCTAACTTTGTACCGTTAACTGTGATCTCACTGTTATTGTCTTCATCTACACGAGTTCTTGAGGTGACCATCGTTTTACGTTTTTCAGAACTTATCTCCATACCATAATTTCTTGCCGTTGTGTCAATTTTTTTTTGGTGAGTTCAGCTAATTCCGCTTTAGATCCGGCAATGAGGCCGATATCATCCGCAAATCTAAGGTTTGTAATCTGTCTTCCAGAAACTTTGACTGTACCTGAGTAATTCTCAAGTGTGTCTGCCATGATTTGCTCTAAGAAAATATTGAACAAACACGGGGAAAGGATACATCCTTGACGAACACAACAGTAGTTTGGAACCACTCCAATGTACCACTGTTTGTCCAAACGGCATTGCTATTATTTTCGTATAGGGATTCAATCACATTAACCAATCCGGCACCCATGTTGTGCTTCTCTATTACCAGCCACAGTGCTTTTCTCCATACTCTGCCAAATGCCTTTTTGAAATCGATAAAATTTTGATGTATCTCCATCTGGTGGTCACGATATTTTTCGCCTAATATTCTTACATTTGCAATTTGTTCACTGGTGCTTCGTCCGCTTCTAAATCTAGCTTGCTCTTCAGCCAGAATGTTCTCCGCTTTTGTCTTCAATCTGTTGCTGATGACCTTCAACAACACCTTGCTCGGTTGACTGATAAGACAAATAGTTCTATAGTTGGTGCATTTCTTCAGATCGCCCTTCTTTGCAAGTGGCACTATTAATGATTTCGTCGATTGTGTAGGCCATTTTCCGTTTTTCTACACCAAGTTGCATATTTTGTACAGAATTTCCATCTCAATATTTCAGTAGCTCTGAGGGTATGTTGTCAAAACCAGCAGCTTTTCCATTCTTCAATGATCTCACAGCTTCTTCTATCTCAGTTTTCAGGATGTCAGATTCATATTCTCCCTTGCTTAGGCCTTCTTGTTCCAATGCATTTAAGATGTTGCTGTTAGTTGAGATCGGATAATTGTAAAGTTCTTGAATGTACTCAGGCCACCTCTTTTGAATTTTGATTGCTTCAGTTAGCAGTTTTCCATCTGCATCTTCAATTACTGATACTCTTGCTGCTCTTTCGCTGGTTAGCTCTTTAATTACTTTGTATGCAGTTCTTGAATCGTTTTTCTCGAAGGCTCTTCCAACTTGTTCACATTTCTCTTGCAAATTTTTTCCTTTGCCCTTTTTATGTCCTTTCTTACTAAGTTGTTAGCAACTCTATACTTCTTGTTACATTCTTCGTCTTTAAATGTTGTTGCTTTCAGTTGCCTCCTTTCATCACATCTGTCCAATATCTCATTTGTCATCCATGGCTGTTTCTTTTTCCGTTCTTTCCCTAGTACTTCCAAAGCAACTTCGTTCATTCCTTCAGTGAATAAGTCTGTCACCTCTTGTATATCTGTCATTTCCAGCAGCGGTGCAAACTTCTCGCCTATTTTGATT